TGTGCACAAGTTTCTGTGTGCAATTCGTCTTCCGTGTATAGGAATCTGTGTATGAAAGCGTCTGTATGTAAAAAAATGTTGTGCGTAAAACGTTCTGTGCGGAGAACTTTCTGTGTAAAAACCATGTGTCTGTAATCCGCCGACCCCGGCAGATGCAAGGGGGAGCGCGCCAGGGAATAAGACAGGAGGAAAAGGTCGCCAGAATTGCAGCAGCAAGAGCAAAAAGCCGCCTACTACTACTACTACTACTACTGCTACTAGTGCTACTACTGCTACTACTACGCCTACTACTACTACTACTACTACTACTACTACTACTCCTACCACTACTACTCCGCCGACCCCAGCAGACGCAAGGGGGAGCGCGCCAGGGAATAATACTTTTGATTCTTGTTTCGGACTAGCAACAGGAGGGTTCTATGTCTCATTGTACAAACAGTGGTAGAAAAATTGGTCGAAAACCATAAAACCTTGTCCAAAACTATTGTTTTTCTAGGGTTTCAGAAGGGACGTTAGGCACTTTTTGGGCTCGATTTTGGCGCTGTTCCGTCCTTCAGGGCCACTGTGTTTCCCCGTCCGGGAGGGTGCGTTTTCAGCCTCGGGAGGAAGAGCAGCAGCAGCAACAGGAGCAACAGGAGGGTTCTATGTCTCATTGTACAAACAGTGGTATAAAAATTGGTCGAAAACCATAAAACCTTGTCCAAAACTATTGTTTTTCTAGGGTTTCAGAAGGGACGTTAGGGACTTTTTGGGCTCGATTTTGGCGCTGTTCCGTCCTTCAGGGCCACTGTGTTTCCCTGTCCGGGAGGATGCGTTTTCAGCCTCGGGAGGAAGAGCAGCAGCAGCAACAGGAGCAAAAGGAGGGTTGTATGTCTCATTGTACAAACAGTGGTATAAAAATTGGTCGAAAACCATAAAACCTTGTCCAAAACTATTGTTTTATTGTTTTTCTAGGGTTTCAGAAGGGACGTTAGGGACTTTTTGGGCTCGATTTTGGCGCTGTTCCGTCCTTCAGGGCCACTGTGTTTCCCTGTCCGGGAGGATGCGTTTTCAGCCTCGGGAGGAAGAGCAGCAGCAGCAACAGGAGCAACAGGAGGGTTCTATGTCTCATTGTACAAACAGTGGTATAAAAATTGGTCGAAAACCATAAAACCTTGTCCAAAACTATTGTTTTTCTAGGGTTCAGAAGGGACGTTAGGCACTTTTTGGCCTCGATTTTGGCGCTGTTCCGTCCTTCAGGGCCACTGTGTTTCCCCGTCCGGGAGGGTGCGTTTTCAGCCTCGGGAGGAAGAGCAGCAGCAGCAACAGGAGCAACAGGAGGGTTGTATGTCTCATTGTACAAACAGTGGTATAAAAATTGTCGAAAACCATACAACCTTGTCCAAAACTATTGTTTTTCTAGGGTTGCAGAAGGGACGTTAGGGACTTTTTGGGCTCGATTTTGGCGCTGTTCCGTCCTTCAGGGCCACTGTGTTTCCCTGTCCGGGAGGGTGCGTTTTCAGCCTCGGGAGGAA